TTTTATACTAAAAAAAGAGAAAATGTCTGTGCAGTACGACAAAATATACTTGTATTAAAGATGCATTCTCTCAAAAAACAAGTTTAAATGTCTAATGCAGTGTTGCTTCTTAAGTAAATCTCTTGATTCAAGGATTTTTAGATATTTTAACTTGAAAATTACACAAAAACACTCATTAAGAATAGGCTTTTTTGCAGTGTATGTTATTGCAACACAAGTTGGCAAATACTTTGGTGGATTCATGCAACTAGATTGGAGCTGAGCTTGCATGACTAGAAAACAACTGCCCGAGGGTGTTACCCAGATCCAAAATGGCCACCAAGTGAACCGACTTGTTTAAAAAAAGATTTGCCTTCCCAGAGCTGCACCATCTGATACCCATCAGCCCCATATGCAGGCCCTCCACCCCTTCAATCAGAACAGAGCCTTGTTGTTTACACCCATCTTTGTTCTGCTACATCTCAAGTCTTTCTCCTCCTCCTTATGCTAAGTGTTTAGCCTCTGGCTGTGTGGGACTTTCTTGCTCTCATTCTTGTGTTTTTTGTTGTTTGGGTCCACTGTCATGTACATAAACTAGTGGCTTTGAAACTGTCCCAGTGGCTTCCCTGCCGAGGGCAGATTTTCCCCGCAGAGATGCTTTGATGATAATGACTTTATGTTTTGGGGAGCCTGTTTTATGACACGTTGTGCCCAAACACCCGCTATCGTTCAACGCACGGTAGAGCAGTGATCACAGGACTGTGAATTAAAGGTCAGCTTCCCACCACCACAGGCTGAGGGTGGAGAGAGCCGAAAGTCTAACACACCTGGCCAATGTTTTTCCCCATGCTCATATTTTTTTTTTTTCGTACTCAGCATAATGAATGTGTATGCCTGTACTCTGAAGAGTAAGCATAGGATCGTTGTGCCACATTTTGCTTAAAATGAAAAATGAAACTAATATTATATTTCGGTGTTGTTTTTTTATATATATAACATTATAGTATTTATTAATATTTTAAATTTAGCTTTTATTTTTATATTTTCTTTTTTCATTTTCATTTTATTTTAGTTATACATAAATGTTAGGTTTTTTTTAGTCATTTTGTAATGAGCATTTGTCATATTTATTAGTTTTTTATTTCTATTTAGCTTTAATTTATTAAAAAAATTTTTTTTGTAGTTTTAGAAATTTTATTACTTCAACTTAAACTAAATATTAGAGGACAATATTAACTGAAATAAATACGTTTATTTTAGACTTTTAATGAGCAAAAAATAACAACACTGGTCTGCTATCAACCAGAAATGAAAAAGCATCTATTACTTATAACCATAGAAATATGACATATATCAGAAAAAGTAATGTCATGGGTTGAGTCAATGTGGAATACATGTACAATTTACATTTCAAAATAAAAATAAGAACATGAAAAGGGTAAAAAATGTTTACAGATTAATGCATGATGCCATTCCAATATGTTTTTCTTCAATTTGTTTTTATTATATATAAAATATTTAAGATATATTTAATTTATATTTAATTTAATATATATAAAATATTATTATAAAATATATACAGATGTATATTTTATAATTTGTTTTAAATGTGAAATGTTTTATTATAGTTAAATGTATAATATTTATTACATATAATAAATATTACATAAATTATAATATATCTTTAGTTTGTGACTAATCTTTAGTAAATAATTCACATAGTTTCATATATTGGCAAACTTATTTTTATATATTTATCCAATTCTGCCATGTGGATACTTAATTTTGACATATTTTTAGCATTGGAAACTGCTTGTCACTTTTCTCAATCATAGGCAGAATAGGATGGACTTTTTCTAAAAACATAGTCATACACCGTTTGTTCGATTTACGACATGACACATCACTCCTCCTACATCAAGCCATCATCATGATGTAGAACATGCAGAAAGCCGTGTAAGATGGGAGAGAGAGAGGGTTGAAAGAAAGATGTAAAAAAGACTTGGAAGATGCCGGAAAGGGTTCGCTTCAAAGAATCACATCACAGGAGGTTATAGAAGTGAAGTAAACAGTGTTCGTAGCTCTTAGATCTGCAGTAACCACAGCACCCAGAGGCTTGATATCCAGCTCTCTTGGGAGCGTTTCAAAGCCCTGTTTTGAGCTCGTCATGGAAGCTTAGATTTCTTTCTGCTTGTCACTCACTTTAATTCCCTCCTCTCCTGGCCTTCTTGTTATTGATTGCGTTCACAAATTAACAACACTCTAGTTTATTGTGGCCCACTTTCAGCTACTCCCTCTCAAATTTTCTCCCTCGTACGATGGCTCTTCTACCGTTTTAAACAACTGTGGATTCGTTGAACGTCCAATGAACTCATTCACATTTGGTTTGTTGTGTCTCTTGATTCTCCAAAGAGTCAAAACCAAATGCGGTTCAGTCTGGCAGAGCATTTCGCCAGTCTCCGTGCTTTTCAACTCAAACCAGATCCAGGATCGGGAGCTCGGGATCAGATGGCGGGGGTAGGGGGAATCACATCCGCATGTTCTTATTTCTTTAATAGACTTCCAAGGTCTTTTTTATTGGGCCTGTTTGTTGGCGTATGTTGTTTGATGTTACCATGCTTTTGGCCGTCTTTTACGCTTTCCCCAGCCAGGAAGGATGGACACCTGCTGCTCTTTCCGGGTCTTTCATAAACATTTGCGATTCCTCGCTCTCGCATCCAAAACGATACAGAAGAATCCTCCCGCTGGGAAAAACGACTAAGGGACATCTGCTACCAAACCCTCCACTTTGGCTGTCTTTTCTTAGACTTGTAGCTGAGCTCATCCATTTTAAATAATGCCTTACAATGACCTAACTCCTCACCCTAATGAACTGCTGAAACCGCTTGAGTCCTGGGACAGTGCAGCTACAGTGCAAACACATTTTTCAGTCCCGTTCCTTCCAAAAAGAAGCTGCAGATGGGAACAAAACGGGTTCGTGTTGAATTAGGTAACCTATGGTTGATTATTTCTGTGTGTGAGAGCATGTTAGACAGCTGCAAGTCATTCTGCCCCAACTGTGTGAGCTGAGCTTTTGTTCTTCAGGCTCGTCCTGCTCATCTCCTAATTGGATGTGCGAGCTGCGGAGAGCTGGGCAGATTCCCCAGCGAGCCCCACACGAACCTGGCCGGTCCCTCCGGTACAGCATGTGGCTTTTATTTGTGGCTTCCCTGAGGTGTCTCCTTCTATCATCTGTGTGGTTTTGGCACCAAACGCATTACCGTAATGAGATATTGACCGAGCAAAAAGGATTACTGTCGCTTTAAATCAAACCAAAGTGATTGCGGTCTGCCTGCGAGAGGAAAGTGCAAGCTAAATATGGTCAAAATAAGATAGAAGAGAGAGCCTTTATACCACAAGCTGTGATCTGTACCCCCGTTGCCCTCCTCATGTCCTGAACGTCCTGTAATTGCTGACCTTGGTTACAGAAAAATCCTGCCGATTCAACAGATGCATCTGGATATCGACATTGCCTCTTGTTGCAGGAATTTGTGGTGTGGGATTCCAGATGAAAATGATGAAAATGGTGTCTGGGATTGTGTGCATCAGGCCTCTTGTCTTGATATTGAAAGTTGATGCATGCAGTTGGAAGGAATTTTACAGAAAAAATGATCAATCTTATAATTACATCTGATTATACTTTCCGTACCCACTGTATATATATATATATATATATATATATATATATATATTATAAATGCATAAATAAACCAGTAATAAAATGTAATGGTAAAATCAATACCATCATTGCAAATGACCGGGAATTTAGTTTAGTTTAGTTTAGTTTTGGTTTTTAATTATTTTTGTTATGTTTTATTTTATTCTATTCTTTTTTTTCTGTCATATTTGGCTAATTCATCTTCATAAACAGCTTAAAACCTCTTGATCTTTCTCTCAGGATTGTCTGCAGCAGAGCGACAGATGCATCTGGTTATCTGTGTACCTTCACATTGCCTCTTTTAGCAGGAATTTGTGGTGCGGGATTCCAGATGAAAATGTTCACTGTGATGATCGGCGTCTGGGATTGTGTGCATCAGGCCTCTGTCTTCATATTGAAGGCTGATGCTTTTAGCTAGAAGGCAGTTTCTCAGCATGGATGCCATTACCACTGTAGAGCTCCATTTGTATGAATGGCAGTTTGTGTGTATGTGTGTGTAGCGGCTGTTTGCTCAGTTGTGTGCATGTTTGTAGAGGTCTGTACTAAGTGCCTCAGGCCTGCCAAACAAGTCAGGACTTTTGTAGCCGATTTTGAAATGTGGGGGGAAAATGAAATGTGAATGTTCCTTGAAATGGAGCAGCGTAATGAACTCAAGACTGTTCCCATATTCAGCACTACTCTGGCGTTTCTCCATGTATCCCACAATGCCTATTCATTTGAGACCTTAACCATTGCGTTCTTTCGCTCTCTAGCACACTTTCAATCAGTTTTTTTTCTTCTTTGTTTCCATCATTTTCCCTCTGTTTTTCCAATTCCTGATACAATCAATCGCAGACGTTCATGATAACTAGGTTTTGACCTTGACTCTCTTAAGAGTGGATACTTTAAGTAGTGTGATTTCACTCTTGACGGTCGAGTCATAGATCTGAGCTGAGTCATCATGGGAGCAGACTGTAGATGAGTCACGTCCCTGAGATGGACAGCTTGGGTTGCCCTCTCTTACCGCAGTCCAATAATTTGTAATGTTTATACTGTACCTCACATGCTGTGAACTGACTGCAATTTGCTTTCTCAGAGCTACCTGCTGCTGCACTTGTTGGCTGCGTACTTACTGTGTACACAGCTTATCAAATTAGATTTTATAGTCAGAATATTTGTTTTATAATTCAATTTTGGTCAAAAGGCAGTTGAGTCCAGGTATTGAACTGTTCATGACATTCTACAAAAAATCTGTGACGATAAACCGCTTCATAGGCAAGTTTGTCAGTTGTATGGTACAGATTCTTGTTGCATGTAAGCGAAACAGTCCATTTTTTTCCTCCAGGATTCTCTGCAGCAGAAGGACGAGCGCATCGAGGAGCTGGAGGAGGCCTTGCGTGAGAGCGTTCAGATCACGACTGAGAGAGAAATGGTGTTGGCACAAGAGGAATCTGCTCGTGCAAACGCTGAGAAACAGGTGAGAAAACACCACACACAGGTGAGATGAAGCTCAAGGCTCATTAATATGCACTTTCTTTCTCTCTCTCTCTCTCATTTATGTCTTTCTTTTTTTGATGCTATGTATTGTTCACTTGCCATATTTTTTTTACATTTGGATCAGTTTTATTTAATACTCTGTGCCTTGTTTTATTTTATTTTATTTTTTATATTTCTTCGTATTTATTCTACCTTTTTTTGTTATTTCATTCATGTTTTTATTTAATCTTTATTTATCTTTTGTTTTGTTAAAAATCTCCATTCAATGAGATGTTTGACAACATTACCAATCCAGCTATATCCAGATAACTTGAAGTATGATAAACCGTCATGTTTCCTGGAAATGTTCCTAGCAATGTTTCTAAAGAGCTCCTGTGTACCTTTATAACGAGGCTGTGATGTGTTACCTGAAGCAAAATGTGTGCGGTAACTTCAGAGTGATACTCGCCAAACCCTACAGCCATCTTTTCATTGTGGAAATGTCCACTTCCTCATCTGCCTGGTCAAACATCCGCCCTAGTGTTTATACAGAGCTGTATGCACATCCACGTAAGGCTAGCATCGCTCAGGCCGGACTGTAATGGCTTTTGCTTGGCGGACGGTATCACTTCCATTAAAAAGCCTCCTTCACAGATCTCAGGAACCAGCAAAAAGCCGGCCTGTCAAAGCACATCACCACACCAGCACGTAGAGCCGTGCCAACCATCCAGATCCATGCCAGCAGTGCCAGTGGTGAACATTCATGTGGCATGCATGGGTTACGTGTTTGTGTCTGCAGTCAGTCTTCATTTAGAACATAAATAAGCTTTGTGTGGCCTGCGTGAGAACTACTAACTTTGGTCCGATTCAGTTCAGCTACATAGAACGTGTGCACACGAGGAGCATCCTGTGTGTTGACTGCACATGCCAGCATTTCTTTCTTAGCATTTTTAAGCAGGAGTTCAACTGGGATTTTGGAGGTAGAGGAGCAAAATAATTGACACATATATAGACTCTACCTGGGTCTACTTAAAGGAGTTGTTCACCTACAAATGAACATTCTGTCATTATTTATTCACCCTTATATCATTCCAAACCCATAAGTCTTTGGTTAATCTTTGAAGCACAAATTATAAGATATTTTTAGTGAAACCTGAGTGGTTTCTGTCCCTCCATAGAAAGTCCAGGTAACCGAAATTTAGAAGACCCAGAAAGTTCATAGAGGTGTCATTAAATAATTCCATATGAAACAAACAGTTTTAACCAAGTCTTGTGAAGAGGTGTAAATACTTTAATTGTAAATTATTTAATTTAGGCACATATAAACACAAATACATAGAGTGTATCACGTATGGTAAACACAGACCTTTTTGGATCTACTAAATTTGGATAAATTTGGATCTAAATGGTTTACCTGGACTTTCAGTGGAGGGACAGAAACCTCCCTGGTTTCATTAAAAAATATCCTCATTTCAAAGTTTTTTAAAGATTAACCGAAGTCTTATGGGGTTGGATCGACATGAAGGTGAGTAAATGAATTATCCATTTAATGCAATTCAACTCTCTAAATGGAGACCAAATGTGTGTCTTCATCTAGAACACATTGGAAATGGATTGAATTTGCAAATAAACTGCCAACAATTTGTTATTTTATTATCCAAAAGTGCTGGAATGCCGTTCCTGAGTTTTCCTGGCCTAATCTAACCTGTTTTTAATGCAGTTTGCACCACTGTCTAGCTGTCTGTTGAGCCTTGATGATAACATCAAACTCCTATAACCTTTTCTGAACGAGTCCTCCATGAACCGGACAACACAAGCAACCAGTCAGGCTTTGAAACGGAGAGCAAAGCAGCTGCCCAAATCTTGCTTCCCCTCAACCTGAATCCCTGAACTTTTCCTCTGCTTTCTCCTTCTCTGTCCATCTTACTTGGCTCCATCGACTCTCTGCTTCATTTTTAAACCCTTAAAGGGGTCATATGATGCGATTTCAAGTTTTCCTTTATTTGAAAAATTTGTTTTTTGAACATTAAAGCATGTCAACATATTCTGTTACACCAAATACACCAAATAATGATCTTTAAACAAGCATCATATGACCCCTTTAATGGTTTGTTTTACCTTCTGTGGATCCTGGAGCCCTGCCGTTTCCTTCCTTTTCGCTCTCTCCATTTTCTAAAGATTTGCATGGCTGGCTGAGCATCGTCCCAGTGTGCGTTGCAGTCTCGGGAATGTGTTATGGCCTTCACCGCCAAGTTTCTTCACCGCCAGGCGGACCTCCACTCCAATCCCCCAGAGGTTAATTAGAGCTGGGGGCTGCGGCGGGAGCCAACGCTGCTGCTAAGCCTGGCCGGCCCCCCTCATTTGGGCTCAGAGAGAAGAGGAAATGGGGACAGTACAAGTGCCACCCTCCGGAGCCAGTCTCCACGCTCATTACCGATGTCCCAGTCGCATCAAGTCTCGCTACGCACTCAGGATATCGCCGTTAGAAGTTCTTCTCCACCCTGGCACCTGTTATATAAGAATGAACTCATATTCCGGGTTACATATTTAGGGAGTTATGAGCTATACAAAAAAATAAAAAATAGAATGGCAGCTTGCCTCACTGGCAATTGGCAGATATGTTTTTAAATGCGTGATTTGTGGTCCTGCATTAAACCATACAAAATCTAATTAGCTTCACACAAATGCACACAGTTTTCCTTACGCACACACAGAGTCTCTCCTCCGCTATTTAATTAACATCCCTCCGTTGCTTCACCACACCCTCTGTTGTGCCAATCATAAGCAAGCATTCGTCTTTAGCTCTGTGTATAATTTCCTCCAATAGCTGCTCGCCTCATTGTTCTCATTGTGCAGAGCACATGTTGGACCGAGTGCAGTGCCTGTACAAATTGCTGTCAGTATGTTGTTCTTAAATGTATGGGGACAAGGGTGACTGCTCTTTGTTACACTGACATGAAAGCAAACCTCTGGCCAAAAATGAGTCTATTCTTTCTCGTCAAGCCAAGTGTGTCTGTTAAGCTCACTTAAAAGCTGTGTTGTGTGTGTGTGTGTGTGTGTGTGTGTGTGTGGGTGTGTGTGTGTGTGT